TTAAAATTTCAGATTCGTATCAGTTTATGTGGTTTACAGAAACCTCCTTTCTCCTGAGAAAACAACATAGAAATGCTGGCTCTCTGTGTCACATTCCTGGGAGGTGTACGACACAAGAAATGTTCTGCTTCTGTCTTGCAGAGCCCATGGGGAGCCAGAGAAATCCCAAGCCTAGTGTTTCCTGGGGAGCAAGACTGTGATGCTGGAACAAATATCAAAGGAAGTCATGCAATTGGTGGAGGCAGAGTGACTGTAGTTGAGAGACTTAGGTGCAAGTTTGGGTTTTATCATCGATCTGCTGTGTGACCTTGGGCAGACACCATTGCATTCTGGGCCTTTAACACATGTAACTTGAAGGCAAGAAGACTAAGTGCTTTTCAAGCTTTGGTACAGACTGCAACCCTGGGTTTTTCCGCTGCCGTTCCTAGTCACCATTACAGCCTTCCCTCCGTGCTCACAAATCCTGGGAAGGGGTGAGTGTGGGTGTTGGTGTTTTTCTTCCATTTGAGCTCAGATTTACTAAGTGACTTGTGCACCTTCCTGTGGATGTGACAGCTGATGAGGGGCTATGTGCATATCTGACCAATGACATCAGGTGAATGACAATAATCTTCAGATTGCTCTGGGTTGACGTAGCTGCTGGAGGATGATGTTAATTCTGCTGTTTACAGAAATAAGTCCAGTGTGAGTCGAGGCCTTTCGGTGTTTAAAACCAGATGGTATTTCCTGCCTTGATCAGCCTCAGAGCTTTGGTTCCCATGGCAACCCTGAAGTTCCACCTACTGCAACTTCCTTGGTCTCTAGGCTTCTTCCCCTTCCATTGCGTCAGGGGCCCCGGAGAAGAAAGGCACTAACTAGCATGTGCACAGCACTTTAAAGTTTGCTCCACATTCCAGCGTTCTGATTACTTCATTTACTTCTCACCACTGCCTTGCCAGATAACATTTGTTGTTTCTCCATTTTACAGACGGGGAAATGGAGGCCTGAGAGATGAGGCAACCTGCTGTCTCAGCCTTCAGTGGTGACAGCAGGACCTAAACTGAGATGTTAGGACTCTGGATCCCACCTGGGGTCCACTCTACCAGGATGAATATGAATATCCTGTCCTCCAGTACTGCCCTGCAGTACTGTGATTATGACTCCTAAATGGTCAGTTTCAAATATAAATTGGCTCTAGATCAAGCACCACATCTTCAGTCAAAACTTCCTTGTGCCTCATGTTCCTTTTCTGTAAAATGCGTAGTAATGGATGGATGAGAGAATGACCCAAGTATGCCTGTAAACCCACCATATGAGCTGAGTCTGAAGGGAGACATGAGACCCGAGTTCCACCCTATTGTGTGATGCTGAATGGGTTGGGCCGCTTGGGGAGGCCTTTTCCTCGGTGAAACAGGTAGCTGCACCTGAGTACACATCTCCTCTCACATTGCAGTGTGGGTACACATCCTTGGGGGACTTGGCAGGGTCTGCATTTCTTGTGAGTGACCTGGGGACACCAAGGCTGCCACTCTGAGTACCATGAACTACACTCTGAGTACCAAGGTTGCAGCTAAGAAAGCACTGTGCAAATGGTATCAGTGATTCACCATGCAGCGATCACGTTCACATGAGTAGAAGGCTCAGGAAGCTGGGAGGGCTGGCTGGGAGTGTGAGCAGGCCTCGTCTGCTGTGTGTGGGGGGGGAGGTCAGGTGAACACTGTCTGATCTTAGGGCTCACAATGGACATAAAAACATCAGTGTATTACATCTTGCATGACAAAATATACTCATTGAAAATGATCCATGCAATTCTTTAAAATAACAATTAACTTTATCTTTTAAAAAGTCATTGTCACCCAAGAATGCTAAATGACCTAAGTTCATGACAGAAAGTAGGTCAAAGTAGAGTTATTACATGGCTCTAAGAAGCAGTATGTCTTGTTCTCCCTCCATTCCCGTGTTCTTTTTTCTTCTCTTTTTCTTTTGTCCTTTTTTTTCTGGAGGGTGGGGATTAAATCCAGGGACTAATGCCTGGTAGGCAAGCATTTCACCAGTGAGCTACATCCTCAGCTCTTTTTTTTTCTTTTGAAACAGAGTCTTGCTAAACTGTGCAGGCTGGCTTTAAACTTGTGATCTTTCTGCCTCAGCCTCCCCAGTAGCTGGCACAGGCATGCGGCACCATGCCCAGCTCATTTTCTTTGCTCTGTTTTTCTTTATATGATTGTGATTTGTAAACTGAATTACGTGCATTAAGTTAATTGCTACCCAATTAACAAGGATTTTCCATTCATTCTTGCAATAAATCTGGCCAGTGCATCCCTGGCCTTTGTCAAAGGTCCCTCACCAAGCTCCTCTGACTGCCATCAGCTCCAACAGAGGTCAACATAGTGGGGCTGAGTTGGCACCACAGCTGGTGGCAAGACGTTCACAAGGCCTGACCCTTGGGACAGTGAGACAAAAGTGCGTAAGAGCTTTGGCTGCAGGACGCAGCACTTTCTCTGTGCTGAGCATTTGGACTGTTAGTCCTTTACATCAGCTCCTTGAGCCAGGACTGTTCTATTTCAGGGCAGCACAGCAAAGCAGGGGGTTTGGTTCTGGTGCCTGTGATGGTGATTGGTGTCCCAGGTGGTCACCCGCTGCCTGAGAAAGGCTGCAGACCACCCTCCTGCTGCTGGCTCTGGGTTGTGCAAACTCGCTGGGAGGAGGTCTTCTGCCTCAGCTGCTTGCTCTCTCACCCCATCCCCAGCACTGGGCAATTAGCTTGAGCTGTGGCTGCTCCTCTCATGAAGCCACCTATCACCTCCACTTTGAGGCCCCTTTTACTGCTGGCTCCCTTCCATGTGCACACAGCCTAGCCCTCTGGAAAGCCCTTGTCCCAGGCAGGTGGCAGGTTTCAGGCAGCCTTGAGACTGGAGGTGGAGCTTAGTCTGCAGCTTGTCATCTGGGACTGGTCTGGGGAAAGCCACCTGTGGCAGCAGAAAAGTGGGGCTGAAAGTTGGGAGACTAACAAAGGCCAGGATCAGGGCACAGAATGAGGCAGGGGAAGCTGCAGCTGCTCCTTCTGGGGTTTTCTTGAGTGAACGTCTGAGGAGCAGGTGTCCATGCCAACTGCAGGCTGCTTCAAACATTCATCTGCCAGGAGCGATTTCCATTGTGATGAAAGTGGAGACAATTACTCCGCTGCTGAAAGAGCCCAAGCAAGTGAAGCAGAGCCTCCAGACACGTAAAAGAAAAAAAAAGATGAGATCCAGAGAAGTGGCAGGAGCCACAGCATCTAGATAACCAGGGCCTCAGAAGAGGCCTGCGCTCTACCGTAAGCCCAGGACAGGACTCCACCTCACTCTGGCTTGCTTGTGAAGCATTTTCTGGGGACACTGGCTTGAGACCTCAGTCTCTCTAGATCCTTGGAATAAAAGGGGTTTTATGTGTGGGACGGGGGGAAGACTACACCTGAGACCTGCAAACTTTTTAGAGCTTTCAATGATACAAACAGCCCACTGTGGCACGGTTATCATAGGTTCGCCCCCACTGCACCAATAGAAGGACAAAGGAAGGATGGGTAGAGGTGAACAAGATTGACCTCAGAGGCAGGGAGGGCCACTTTACCAGGAGCCTCTTGGTGGTCTTCTTTAGTATGATACTAACAGGAATCTTACCATTCTAGCCTCTGAGAAGCCTACCATTCAGAAGCATTAAGTTCATTCACACTCTTGTACAACCATCGCCATTATCTAATTCTAGAGTTTCCATCATCTCCAAAGAGAACTCCTTACCTATGAAGTGGTTATTCTCCCAACCCTCGGCCCCCAACACCCACTGACCTGCTTTATACCTCTGTGGCTCATCTATTCTCAACAGAGTCATGAAATATGTAGATTCTTGTGTCTGGTTTCTTTCGCTTAGCATAATGTTCTCAAGGTTCATCCAGGCCACAGCCTTCATCCATTCACCCACTAAGGGTCATCTGAGTTATGTTAACTTCTTCTTATTGTGAATTGTGCTGCTATGAACATCGAGCCCAAGTTCTTGATGCAATACCGATTTTCAGTTTCTCTGGGCATGCATTGGGTGGAAGTGCTGGGTTATGGGGCCATTCTGCCCCATTGAGGAACCATTCCCTCTTCCTTTTACAGTAACAGGGCTGGATGGGATCTCAAAAGTGACCTAGTACAGTGTTTCTCACACTTTTGGAGAAAGCTACTATCACTGCACCCTGCCCTCCTAAAGTAGGAAGGGCTCTGTCAGAATCGTCCCAATTTTAGTGTATATTGCTGAAGCAAAAGCACAAGGCTTTGTCAGAATCAAGGCCAACCCTGAAAAATGAATCAGCTCAGTGTCAGGTAAACTAAGTGCTCCTCCTTGCTTTTCTCCCTCCACCTGGCACTGGCACTGGCACGTGGGAGCCACTTCCCTGGTTTACACCCCACCTTCAGTCTGAATTCCCTCTTCAACTGCCCTGGTGTAGGGTTGGCCAGCTTCTGGGCCCAGCAGGGATGCTGCCCTGCCAGGTAGCTCTGGTCCCTGGAATGCTCCTCATGGGGAGCTGCCCTGCTCCCCTGCCCCGCCCTCTGGGGCCCACAGCCTCACTCCCCTTCCTGGTTACAACTGTCTGCTTCCCTAACCTCTCTGGGGTTGAGCATTTCAGTAGGAGGCATTGAGACCATGGATGAGGCCAATTCACAAAAGAAAGTGAAGCTCCAAGCTATTTATAGTATTCTATATGCCCTGGCCCCATTGTAAATCAGCGGCAGGGCCTAAATAGCAAGGTGTCACTTGTTAGGTTTTATTGTTGGCTGGGTTACTCTCTCTGACAAGGCAGCAAAATATCGCAAAGACAATGTGGACCTTGGGGTGAGACTTGCATTCAAACCAAGCATCTGTTAGCTATGTGTGACCTTGGTAAAGCTGGTTACTGTCAGTGCGCCACAGTCACCAAACTGACAGGAAGGGAACTTTAAGTCTTACAGGGTTATTGTGAAGATGAGACAAGGTGACTCACAGAAGCTAGAAGTGAGAAAAAGAAAAATCAACTATTATTTAATACACGCAGCTTGGCAAACAAAAATCAAAGAATCAAGTCCTTGTATGGGAAAAACAATAATATAACAAGAAAAAGAACTGTCTGACATGAGGAAGATGGAAACCACTCTGCAGGTCTGAAATAAAATGATGTCTGGCCTTGGACCAGTGGCCCTGTTGAGGGCTTGTGGCAAGGCTAATGCCTACCCCAACCACCAGAAGGTCTCCCTGACAAAGATGGCCATGCCTGTGTCTCTCAGTCACAGGAACGGAGGAGGGATCCTATCATGGGGAGTTGGCTCCACCCCATCATTGGCAGGGGAATGGGGAGCCCTGAGTGGCAACAAGTTGTGTTTTTGGCCATAAGAAGCCCAGAGGGGTGGGAATGGCTAAAGACAAGTGACAGGGCTTTAATCTCTCACCACCTATGGTTCTTCCTGTGCCACACCCAAGAGTTAGTGAACTGCTGTCCATCTGGGCTTGATTTCTCAGTTGAGGACCTGACACTAAGGTAGAGTTCAAGTCTACTCTAAGGAGGAGCAGAGCCCCCAAACCAGCAGAGAGCCTAGCAAGTCCTCAAGAGGAATATACCTGAGGAATACACATGAAACTCCTAAGGGAAGGGATCCCTACCCTCCCAGGAGGAGAGTTATCCTCCCCAGCCAGTCCTGCAGAATTTGGAATCGACTTTATTAGGGAAAACACCAGATCTCTTTACACACTGAACAGAACCCACTGGTTAATAAGATACGATTAAATTGCTTGAAATGGACAAGGACAGCCAGAGGCGCTTCATTTCACCATTTCACCTTCTGCAGATGTCACCTTCTTCTGGACTGCAGGAAGGATCCTAGCCACGGCACGTGGCACTTAACCTGGACACACAGCTCAGGGGAGCTGTGTGCAGCCATCTAGCCTGCACAGTGCCTTCGGGCAACTCCAAGGCAGGAGCAAGTGAGAGGGGTTCCACTCTGCCTGCTGGGCCAGCCTCCATGGTTTTCAGACAGCTTTCTTTCTTTTTGTCCACCTTGGTGTGAATCCCAGCAACACAAACGCCTAAACTCAGGAACAGCTGAGACCAGGAATCCAGGGGCCAACCCTGGCTTCCTTGTGGCCTGGATGCTGGCAGTGCTGTGTAAGCTGCTGCTACCTCTTGCTGCGGGCTGCTTCTTCCGGCCTCACCCAACCAGCCATGGCTACAGGGAGAAAGAGAGAGGGAGGGACTGATTTAAAATGTGCAACTATCTTTGAAAGTCCTGACATATGCACAACTATGTTGTGAAAAGGGATTTCCTACCCTCATCTGATCCACAGTACCTTGGGGACAGCTACCCTCTAGTAACCAAAAGGTAAACTGAGGCTCAAAGCGATAAGGAAACATGCTCCATGTTACCCAGTGAGAAGTAGCTGAGCCAAAACCCAGTGCTAGGTCTGACTCTACCCCCTCCAGTATTCTTTTCAGTGGGAACACTTGCTTCTATATATTTCAAAGAAAATGACTGAAAATCAGAATAATATGTACTAAGTTCACACTCCCCTGTCCTGATGATATATAATGCACATAAGTTGCACGCTGCCTTTGCAATGATGTTCAACTTGGGGTGGCCCTTATCCTATCTGTGGCTGTGCCCAGACCTGCCCTTCAGGACTAGCTCTAGCTCCTTACTCTGAGCCTGCCTGAGCCACCAAGTGTCCCTGTGATATGCCCCTCACTTGCACGCAGTCACTACAGGACATGTTACATAGCACTCACTGTCCTGTTCATGTACTTGTCTCCTCTAGGAGACTGCAGTTTCCAGAGCACCAAGACAACCCATCTGTGGATCCAGAGCAGAAGCCTGGGCTGGCACAGGGTGGATGCTCAGAGGACATTCCATGAATGAAAAAATGAAAAAGGAGGCATTCTTCCTGCAAAACTAGCTGGCCTCCACCCGGCCTTCTGGGATGGAGGCAGGGAGGCAGGAGCCTTGCTCTGGCCAGCAGGGGCCTGGACACCCAGCAGACACTGCATAGATGCTGGACAACAATGTCCTTCAACCTGCAGAGATGCCGAGGACAGGGAACTCTCCTAGTCAGGGGACTCCCTCACCTCTGTACCCCACTACTAAGTGGGCCACTTTTGAGGACAACTGCTGGGGAAAGTAGAGGTGGTTCCTGAGGACCCTGCCCCATGGCTGTCACTTTTGCAGACAAGGCCACATTTCTCCAGCAATGTCAAAGGAACCCCAGTCTTGTAAGAGCATCTTGGAGAAGACACGAGGGGGAACAAGCTAGTGAAGAGGGCTGGGCTGAAGGGACTGAGATGCCTCCCAGCAATGGCCCTGTCTTGTGGCTTGGCTTTAATTCAGTACCTACCCGATCGTGGAACCTTACCCCATGTTCACATACACACCTCTTATTTTTCTTTATAAAAAAATTTTAACATCCCATGGAATTAGTGCTCTAAAGAGTACACTTTGGGAGATGCCTGTGATGGTCAGTGAGCAAGGGAGTTACTTCTTGTGGAGAGGGACAGCCTCCTGGAGGCAGACTAGGGACAGGTAGGGTAAGAAGGTGACCAAGGCCCAAGAAGGGTGCCAGGGACCCTTCACCAACCAGCACACAAACTGTTGGGAGAAAAAGCCCTGGAACCAATCCTGCCAGCAGAAGGGAAATAATCAGCCTTGCTCTGTCCAGGGTCCTCAGATGGGATGGTGGAGGTGTGCATGCATGGAGCACTGACCCCAGCACAGCTCCATGTTTCATAGGTGTTCAATCAAACTTCCCTCTCTGCCAATTATGGTGAAAACAGGATGACAGCACAAAGCAGGCACAAATCTTCAAAGTAAATAGCAGTGGGGGCTATGTACTTTGGTGTATGGGGTAACCCTTGAGGACATCAGTAAATTGAAACAGCCAGAATCACTAGGGTGTCCAGCTCCAAGAGTCTATGGGATGAAGGGAAAGGCCAGGTCTGGTTCCAACTCTAGCCAAGCTCCTGCAGGACTGCATAACTGGCGGGCAGCTTGCTTATCTTACTTTCCCCATGTACAAGATGACATTAAACAATGTCACCTCCAGGGTGGCCATAAGGATGAAGAAAAATGTGGTAAAGCTTGGGCATACAATAGATGCTTCATAAGTATGTCCCCTTGAAGAAGAATGGGGAATCTTAATATGGATGCCTGTCCATATGAAATGTTTTCTCTTCAGCCACGTGGAATATGGACTTCTGCAGGTGGGGGATAAAGAGGAAGAGGGAGGAAAGACAGCTGCTAGCCTGGCAGGGAGAGAGGAGTCCATGAGGCTCTGGGCACTGTGGTGATGGCTGCCTCTAAAAGCCTGCTTGGAGGGATGTGTCTTCTTTTTTTTTCAGTATGAGTGGCAACAAGAGGATCACAGGGGATTGGCTTTGACAGCCAGGGGAGACAGGTGAGAGATGGTGGGCACAGCTCATGGCAAGGATTAGAACTCTAAGGCCACCATGTGCTGGGTGCTTCTTGTGGACCAAGTGCTGTATGTACTCAGGCTCCTAGTTCCGGCTAAGAGGCGCTGAGGAGACATCCCTGCCATATCACTGGCCAGGAATGGGGCTAGATCTGAGCCCTGACCCTAACCCAGAGCACAGGTTCTTCCCACCTGCCCTGCTGCCCCTTGAGGTTGGGGCCACATGCACACAGGTGTTCTTCTACCTGTCCAGATCTTCCAGCGTGGGGACAGCTCTGGCTCAACTGTGTACTCCTGACAGCAAGTGTATAATAGATTTTAAAAGTTGGGGCTTGTCTAATATAGTGTGATGCGGTAGAAAGACACACAGGTCAATCCATTTTTGGGGAACATGGAATTAATAGGGCATAGAAGAAATTCCAGAGTCTCTAGTTTTCTTTACTTAGAAAATCTGAGCACTGAAGTCCTTTCACAAAGGGATACCTTGGTCTCCTGCTCCCATATGCATGGCAGAAAGCCCTGTATGACCCAGCTGAGCAGCAGGGAGCCCTGTAGTACTGTCTTTTCCTGACCCTGCACCTTGCAGGTAGAGAAACTGCAGGCCAGAAAGAAGGGTTCCACATAGTGAGCCCTCTTTTTTCTCCTATATGAAAGTTGCCTTTGGAATTAAAAAAAAAACACATGTAGACACACATCCCAAATGCCTGCTGAATACTGTATGCAGTAGATGCAGTGAAGTCTAAAGCAGTAATACACAAAGCATGAAGGGGTTTCCATGGCTAGGAGGACAAGTTCTGTGTAAGGGTGTTGAGAAAGGCTTCCTCTGGGAGGTGACTTGAGCAATGAGGGACAAGCTAGAGCTTTTACAGAAAGATATGGCAGGGAGAGATCCTTCCATCAGATTGCTCCCTTACTAAGTTTAGGGCATTGCTGGAAAGCATATGAGTGGAACCTACATTTTCCAGCCTCCTTTGCAATCAGGTAGAGCCATGTGACAACCATCGGCCAATGGAATGTGAGCAGTAGGGAGAAGTGTCAGCTAAGGGCAAGGCAGTTAAGAGGCTGTACTGGCTGTCTCCACCATCCTTTTTCCTTTCTTTTGGGGATAGCAGGGCACAAGAGCAACAGAGCCAAGTCCCTGAGTCACTATGTGAAACCATGTGCCCATTAGAAGCATGTGACTAGGACCTGTTAGGACAGAACTGGTCTCCACATGTGCGTGTCTGGTACCGCAACAACCTTACCAACTTATGCTACAGGAACTAGATGGAGGGGGATCCAGACAGGAGGAACAAAGGTTTGGTTCCCAACTATGAGAAGGGGTACCTGGACCCAGAAAACTCACTCTGGTGGCCACCCAAGGAGAATCACGTACAGGGACTATTGCCGGGGGCCCTGGTGTTGCTGGCACTGCTCTCAAAGGATGAGTGGAAATTGTGAATGGTTTCCTGTAAAATTTGTCTCTCGCGTCCCTGTGGAGGAAATTGAAAACAGACATAAAATGTCTTGTTAAATTTTTTTAAACCATGAATTCAATTGGTTCAATTGAATTCAAGTGGTTAATGCTCAGCTCACTTGAAAAATCCTTGAGTGTCAATGGGGGAAATAAATGTGCTAATCGAAAGAGTATCGAAGGCAGAGGAGGTAAGCCTCTTGGGCCACCATACCACCACCCCAGAGTGCTGAGGAGGTGAGCCTCTCAGGCCATCATACCACCACCCCAGAGAGCCAAGGAGGTGAGCTTCTCGGGCCGTCATACCACTGCCCCAGAGCGCTGAGGAGGTGAGCCTCTCAGGACATCATACTACTGCCCAAGAGCGCCGAGGTGAGCCTCTTGGGCCCTCATAACATCGGCCCAGAGCGCTGAGGAGGTGAGCCTCTCAGGCCATCATACCACCGCCCCAGAGCACCGAGGAGGTGAGCTTCTTGGGCCACCATACCACCACCCCAGGGCGCTGAGGAGGCGAGCCTCTCAGGCCTTCACACCATTGCCCTAGAGTGGTGAGGTGAGCCTCTCGGGCCTTCATACCACTTCATACCATTGTCCCAGAGTGCCGAGGAGGTAAGCTGCATGGGCGCCAGCAACCCCCCTACCCCGAGCCATTACCTGGATCTACACCACAGAGTTGCAGGAGTCATAAAGGACATTGTTCTGAGCTTAAGAAGATAGAGTGGAAATGAACAACAGAAAGAGGGCCTGAGGCCTCTTGATGAAAATTAAAGCCCACTGGAAAAGGACTACAATAAAGGCACAACAGACCACCTTCGTTGGGGGAGCAGCAGTGTGGACCAGAGCAGCACGACTGCATGCAGATCCCAGCCGGGCATCCGCCCCGACCCCAGAGGCTGGGGCACACTGGCCAAAGTCAAGGGCCTGCCTGGAAAAGAGCTGCAAGGCACACAAGCAACAGCCAGAGGTTCACCCCAATACCATCAGTAAGCATGAAAGACCCTAGCCAGAAGCTTGCTCACACAGCAGGAACTGGGGTGCACAGCCACCAGCCAAAGACCCTCTCAGACAAAAGCTATATAGGGGCCCTAGCCAGTGGCACACCTAGATAGCATCTCAAGTGTGCACAGGCCCCAGCCAGAAGCCCACCCAGAAAACAGGTCAGCTCAGGGATCCAGAAGGCCACCTTTCTGAACCCAGGAATTACTGGTGAACAGCAGAGAAAAGACATCTCTGTGGCCTGCTGAGAATTGAAGACCACTGGATGAGCAAAAAGTTGCCTTAACAAAAGCACAGCAGACTCCATCTGTTGAAATGAGAAGACAAGTAAACAAGCCTCAAAACCAGACTTCCAGATCACCTAAGGCAACCCCAAAGGGAAATGAAATGGAACAATCTGATACTCAACCACCTGGACTCCCTGAACTGGCAACTAAAGAGGATCTGGAAAACATGAAATCAGAAATAATTTCTCAGACAACAGCAGAGATTATGCAAGACATGATTAATAAATCTAGAGTGGCCACATTAAAAAAATAGAGGAGCTGAGGAACATGATGGAATCTCAACATAGGAAACAAATGGAATCCATAAAACAGATGCAAACAGAGTTCCAGGAGATTAAAAACTCCACTGAAAGTTTACGCAGCAGAATGAGCCAATGTGAGGACAGAATTTCAGATACAGAAGATAAGATTGCAATTAGTGACCAGGAAAAGAAAAATTGCTTCAAAATTGAAAGGGACCATGAGAAATCAATCCAGCAGCTGCTAGATGATGCAAAGAAGAATAACATAAGACTGACTGAGTCAATGAAGAAACAAGGAGAGAGTGCAGATGACATAAAAAAAAAAAAGTTCACAGAAGTGACGGCAGAAAACTTCCCAAGAAGGGGAAAAGAACTTGACATACAGATAAGGGAGGCATATAGGACTTCAACTAGCTGTGATCAAAAAAAAATCTACACATAGGCATATAATTGGTAGGATTCCAGAAACTGAACAGAAGAACAAAATTCTACAAGCAGTGAGAGAAAAGAAACAAATCACATACAAAGGAAAGCCCATCAGAATCACAGCAGACTTCTCAACACAAACCCTCAAGGCAAGGAGAGCTTGGAGCGACATATTGCAAGCCCTAAAGGAAAACAGCCTCCAACCCAGATTGATGTATGTCGGGAGCAATGCTACATAATTTTAGGGAAAAATCATTTGGTTAGCCTAGTTCTGCCTACAATCCAGCTATGGAATTCTGAGACATAATTGCATTTTGGCCTCTGGTCACAACTGAGACCTCAACGATCCGGTGATGCTGTCTGTGATTCTCCAGGACAAGAAACATCTTGGAAGCTGAAAACATCCTGGAAGGAATAAACATCTACTCAGTTCCTCCTTGTTCTTGGATTGTTACATCTTATTATGCAGGATGTACTGAACTCTCTGCAAATCATTTGTTACACTTTGTTTCTCCCGATGTACTGAATAAAAGGTGCAGTAAGCGAGGGGCTTTCGTCTTTGCTGTCCAGAGCAGCACTGATCAGACTCAAAGCTCAGCTTCTTCTCAGTCTCATTTTTCTACCTTTCCCGTAATTTGCCGTGTACTGCCGTGGCTCACAGGAGACTAGGACTTACTGCAGAGGTTCTAGTAACGTCCCCTTTCCCTGTTCCCTATAGATGTACCCTGCAAAACTATCTTTCAAAATTTATGGAGAAATAAGATATTTTCATGACAAAGAACACCTGAGGAACTTCATGAATACCAAACCAGTACTCCAAAAAGTTTTAGACAATATCCTAGGAAAAGACAAAGAGGATCACAACCCCAGGAAGCACAGCAGAATGAATCCACCAGGCACGACAAAAAATTTAATGCAAAGGGGGAGAATCCAACAAAAAGAAAAAGTCATGACAATGATGTCAATACGTATCAGTTATAACTATCAATGTTAATGGTCTCAATTCACCAATCAAAAGAAATAGATTGGCAGAATGGGTCAAGAAGCAAGATCCAGCAATATTCTGCATACAAGAAACACACTTAATTTAAAAAGAAACTCACAGACTGAAAGTTAAAGGGTGGAAAACAATACTCCATGTGAGAGGAACCCGAAAAAAAGCAGGAGTAGCTATCCTCTTTGCAGATCAAGTGGATTTCGAACCAAAATCTGAAACACTTCTGGTCCCAAGAATTTCAGATAAGGGACAGTCAACCTGTATATACAAATCTATTGTGAACATGTGTTTTCATTTCTCTTAAGTAAAAACTTAAGAACAGAACTGTTGGTTCTTAACAGTAACACAAGAAATTTCTATACTGTTTTCCAAAATGGCCTTATCATTTTACATTCACATTAGCAGTATTAGAAAGTTCTAAATGGTTCACACCTAAGCTGACATTTGTTCTTTTAAAATCTTTAACTTAATCTCCTTAATGAGTGTATAATACGATCTTGTTATTGTACTGATTAGTACTTTCCTGATTCTAGTGTTGCACCCCTTTCTATGTGCTGCACTGGCTATTTATCATCTTCTTGTGTCGACTTTTCAATTGGGTTATCTATTAATGAGCTGTAAAAGTTCTTTATATATTCTGGTCATAGGTTATATGTATTATAAATATGTTCTGGTTAAGGACTACTTTTCATTTTCTTAATGATGTCTTTTAAAGTTCTAAATTTTGATGGAATCTCACCAATTTTTTTCTTTTATACATCATGTTGTTTGTATCCTAGGAAATTCATGCCTACTCTAAATTCATGAACATTTTCTCTTATAATTTCTTCTTAAAGTTTTATAGTTTTAGTCTTTCATATTTAGGTTCATAGGCCCTTTCAAGTCATTTTTACGTATGGAAAGAAAGGGTTGAGGTTAATTTTTTACATACAGATACCAGGTGTTCTAGTACCATTTGTTGAAAACATTATCTTTTCCTCTGCTCTTGAGTTGAGTTTATGTTCTATAAAATGTTAATGTTAAATAATCTTTTAAAAATCAGTGGACCATATATGTGTGGTTCTATTTCTAGATTCTTGTTTTATTCCATTTATCTCTATGTCTTTCCCCAGGCCAATATTGCCTTGATTACTGTAGCTTTAGAAGAAATCTTAAAATTAGGTAATAAATGTCTTCCAACACTGTTATTTTCTTTTTATTTTTCCAGGTCCTTTCTACTCCTACATAACTTTTGAATTTCAATATCCAATTCTTCATTTATAGCAAGTATACACAGATCTGAATTTTTATATATACCTTGTGTTTTCTAATCCTGCTAAATTCAAATACAAGTTCTAGGGGCTCCTAGAGATTTCTTAGTATTTTCTCTGTAGATGATCATTTTATCTACATATAAAGATTTCGCTTCTACCTTGCCAATCTTATGCTATTTATTTCTTTTCATTGCCAGACTATTTTGGTTTGGGCCTATGTTTCAAAGTTTAATGGACAGATGAAGAGTAGGCATATCTGCCCTTGTTCCCCACCTTAAGGAGAAAGCATTGTATCTTTTCCATTCATATAAGGCGTTTTTGCTGGAAGTATGGAGTACATGTCTTTGATCTGTTGAGACGGTTCTGTTCTACTTCTAGTCTCCCGATAGCTTTTACCATGAACAGCTGTAGAATTTAGTCCAATACTTTTTCTGCATCTACTGATAGGATCATATGGCTTTTTCCTTTCCTTTGTTAAAATGACTTATGGGGGTGGATCTTCCAATGCTGAACCAACACTGCTCTCCCTATAATAAAACCACTTACTACATACTGCCAGATTTGACTTCTAATAGTTTGTTTTGTTAAACAAATTTTTATTTATGTTCATCCTTTTCTCTTCTATGATCTTTATCCAGTTTTAGTATTAGCACAATGTTGATTTCCTAAAATGAGGGGAGACATGTTCCTTCTTTTTTCTGCTTTAAATGTTTGATATAATTTATTAGTTAAAATGTATATGAGCCTGTTGCTGTCATATAGGTAGGTTTTCAAGCTAGGAATATACTTTCTTTAATAGGTGCTACTCAAATTTTATA